GGGGAAAGATACGGTAAAACTACTTAGTGCCTTACGGAAGCAGCAGTACAAGCAATGGATGACCGAGAAAGGATTGGATCCAGAAAGGCTCAGCCGGGTAGACTTTTTTTCGGGTCACCGGTGGGTTTGGTCTTGCTTGGGTTCTGTTGAATTTGGTGCTAGTTTCTACGGAGTTGACGGTATTAGATCGATCGTGTCGGCAGAGCTCGCTGACGACTGTGACGGTTTACGCGGACGAGTTTACAAAGACACTGGATCACGCGGCTGATTATGATACATCACGATAATTGTAGCAGGTATCCGTGGGATACCGGTACGGTAAGCCCACGTTGCCGATGGCATTGCCATCATGGCAACGCTCGTCATGTTCACCGGTTTATGTTGCTATTTTTATCTACAGCAGTAAAGCTCCGAAATATTTTGTCGACGAGGCGATCGTTGTGCATGACGCGTTAAACCAGCAGCATTGCACATAATGTACATCTTCATAACCACAGAGTTGACAACGATGCAATACGTGTATCAGCATTTAACCTGTCTGCGAGTATTGCTGCCATGTACTGTTACGAAACTCTTGGCAGTGCCAAGGTTTATTGCGTTGAAGTTGTTCGAATTGTATGTGACGAGAGCATCCTGGTGACTTTCTCTACGCGACCGCTCCGGCACTTCGTCGATTCATTTTCGATTCTTTTCTGATGCTGCAAAACTTCACACTTGAAGAAGGTGATAATTCATCCTGGCTACGAACGCCGAGGAATGGATTCTTAGATTTGCTAAAATGTGTACTTGAAGTATTTTACTGGGATTTTGTAATCCAGATTTTCTCCGCAGCCTGAGAAAGAAGGATATAGAACCATGAACAATTATTTACTTGAACATTTTTTTTTTTACTAAAGTGATGGAGCGACAAAAGTCGTATATTTACGCAAAACGTAAAACATAGAAAATGCTTTCCTAAGGGTAAAAACTAGGGCTTTCAATGTCAAATATGAGGCCTTATCACCTGGGTTTCTACAACGAAGTACAAAGTTTAATAAGCGTTGGGAAGACAGGAATTGAGTCGTACTCCCACTAGGCAATCCATGAAATTTCAAAAATGATCCAAACGTCCTCTTAGTAACTGCAGCGCACAGTATATCTAATTCGTTCAATCGTGCAAAATTGCTGAAGACAATCGCATTTCCGGCAAATTGCTTGAAAAAGACTCCAGAACTTGAAGTAAACAAGTTGTACCGATCCTGAATCCAGAGCAAATATACAGCACTTCGCTTCTTCCGCAGTTTTTTTTTCTTCAGTTCCAAAAAGTATGTTTCCGCCGTATGTGGCCATTAATGGATGTAGCCATTTCGGGTCTATAAAAAGCGATTCATGCTGTTAGACATGGCAGACAGCAAATTAAGCTCATCGTCCCATGCTGTAAGCCTTCGATAGCTTTCGCCTTCTACGAGTGGGTTTATCATGGCGTCATCCAATGCCGTCGAGGTGCATCCTGAAGACACTAAACAAGTCAGCAAAATGCACTTGGATCTTGAAGACATCACCAATGGAGACCGAACCCGTCAGGATGACGATCCCAAGAAGACGAAGATCCGGAAACGACGTGGACCGAGAGCTCAGACAATCGAGGAAGTGTTTGCAACATTGAGCAATGCTCGATCATCAGGGTTAAATCCGCCACCCGAGCGTATTATACTCACTCCTCGATCAGCTGAAGCCTGCTTACGTTGTGGTGTGAATCCTGAAACTCTCAAGATCCGAGACTTGGACTCATTTTACGATCCAGAAGTCACTGCTGCAGTACAACGTATGCGTCACGAAGCGTATTCCCTCAGGAGACACGAGGAGATGCAGGCTTTGCGAACTGAAAAGCGTAAATTGTTAGAGGCAGAAGATCGAGGCGGAGTCATACCGTCACGTCTTGTTTCCATCTCCAAATCTAAGCGAGCACCTCGTAGTGCTAAAATGTTACCGTCCACCACTTCGAGTTCACCGGGGATGAAGAATTCCTCGTCATTGCTAAATATCGAGCGACAAAGACTTGAAAAAGTCCGACAGCGACAAGAGCGCGAACTGGAACAAATGCTCGAGTTCGAGATGAAGATGAATCGCCTGCAACAAGAGGCGGCCGAGAAGATGGAGCGCGAAAAGCGACAGCACGAGGCTATGGAGCGTTCGCGTATACGCTTTGCACAGGAGATGGCGGCTGAAAAGCGAGCCCGAGAGATCAAGAAGAAGGCGCAACTGGATGCTGAAGAAGAGCGACGCAAGGAGATGGCGGCTCAATTAGCTGCTCGCGATCGCGCTCTGGCCGAAGAAAAGGCTCGACAGGATAAATTACGCCGGATTGAGGCCAGAGAACGAGAGGAAGAGCGGAAGATTAAGGCGGAAGAGCATCGTGCACAGACCGAAGCTTTGCTTCGAGCTCAGCAGATGGAGATCCAGGCGCGACTTAAAGAGCTGGACTTGGCCGAGAAAGCACGCGAGGAAATGGTGGAGCAACAGCGAGCCGAACGAGCGATAGCGATGGAAGCTCGACGTCGTGAAGTGACGCAACGTATCCGGAAGAACCTCCGTGCTTCGAAGAAGCTGGAGGCGCAGCGAAAGCGAGATATTCAACGTAAACAAGCAGCTAGTGAGGCTGTTCGACGTGCTCATGAGGAAGAGGAACGACAGTCCCGAGAGCTACAGGCTCAGCAGCAGTTGGCGTTGGAGAAGAAGCGTCAGTTAGTGCTGGAGGAGACCCGACGAGAAGAAGATCGGAAGAAAGAAGAGCTTCTCGAACGTCAACGAGAGATTGACCGCAATGTACAACAAGTCCAGAAGAGCCAAGAAGAACAACGAGCTTTGCGTACTGAGTACCGGAAGCTACAAGCTCAGCTCAAGTTGGACAAAGTGGAGCGGATGAAGCGAGTGCAAGAGTATCAACGACTAGAGATGCTGCGGAAACTTCAAGACACTGAAGCCCGTACGCAGCACATGCTGAATGAGAAGGAGTCGCTTGTTAATCGACGTAAACAGCTCGCGATTAAGACCAAGATCCAACGTGATCTCATCATGCGGACGATGGAGAATGTCAAGATCACCAAGAAGTGGCACCAAGCCTCCAAGACGATCGAGAAGGTGCTTAATGGTGGGAATACCAATCGCTCTGTTGGTTCACGTTCACCTACGCTATCGCCAGTCAAGTCTACAGGAAAAGAGCGTCCGAAATCGAGCTCCGGTATCGTTGTGAGGCAGACATCACTGCCAACTCTCAGGAGTCCCACGACTCCTGTTACTTCTGGTAATGCGACGCAAGATCATCAGCAGTCAAAAGTGTTCCGTCCTCCGTCACCACCTCCTACACGAACAGCATTCAAGTTCACGAAGGAGGCACAAGAAACACCGAACGCTGCAACAGGGAGCGGTACTACTGCTGAGCCCTACTTCTCTCCTTACGATGCAGTTCCTGACACTACCGGTAGTCTATCAAAGAAGAGTAAGTCTGCTGTGCTTTAACTGATAAATTCAAAGCACACGATAAGATTCAATATAAACCATGCTTTTGGCGTAAGGAGTTTTTTTATAAAAAAAAAAATAATTCACATATAATGCATGAAACTTAGCCCTTTCAGTAAGATGAAACTCGAGTTGCTTGCTGTTTCTTGTGGAAAATAGGCACGGCTCGCACTACACGGCCAACAGCTTGAGTTTTCCCTTCACGTAGCACCAGCGGCAAGTCTGGACGGATGTATTCCGGCCAGTACATGAACTCAAAGCGGCACATCGTAGTGGCAGGCTGAAGCTTTGTTGGAGTCGAGCAATTGGGGTCTCCCAGTCGTACGATCTTCGCCATTTGCCGCACTTGGCCTGTGTGGATAACCGCCTGGAAATTCTCTCGAAACGCTCGTGCATCCGGTAAGAAGTGCAGCTCTGCGTCGAACTGACGTGTAGCCATCGGCCGAACACTCGGGTGCACTAGCATCGTGCCTTTCCTGATGCGGTGGGCTGGCTGAGCAGTTGTCAGAAAGCGTATCAATACCGCTCCAGTCTCTCCTGCGCTTAGACTTTGCGCTGCCTTGTGCTGCACTTCAATGCTCTCGACTGTGACGTCGCAAAAGAGACCATCAATGGCAGGTCCCAGCAGCATACCTTCCCCCACACAAAGTGTGCCAGCATGCACAAGTCCAGTCACAATGGTGCCTGCATCTTCGATATCATAGGCTTGCGTAATCTGGAACTCCGCTGGAGTCTTAGCTTTGGTAGCCCACAAGCGGTTCGGTTCGAGTACAGCCAGATACCCTTGTAACACGTCCAGACCCTTACCGTCCACGTTTGAGACCTGGAATACCGGTACAGTCGACGCACAGGTAAGCTTCAATAGGTCGTCCTGTAATGTATCCATGTTGCTTGGTGCCAAAAGAACCCGTTGATAAGGACAAAACACCTTCAGGAGGTCAGCCACTTCATCCAAGGACTGTTGTATTCGCTCGTTCGTCACGAGATCCGTCTTGGTTATTACCACGAAGATGGCTACATCCAGTGCAGTGGCGATTTTGAGGTGTTCACGTGTCATATCTCGAACTCCACGGACAGCATCGACTACCAGCATGGCGTAGTCTGGGAACTGTCCTGCCAATCCTGATGCTGTACTCTTGAGGTACTTCTTGTGTCCTGCCAGGTCACTTAACGTGATGAAACTCTGCGGTCTTCTTGGCTTTTCGTCTTGCTCGATTTCCTCGTCACTGTCGCCGAAGTCACAAGTGGGGAGCTCCTCAGTGTATCGGAAGTGTCCATCGGCAGCCACGGCGATCGTGTGCTCGCTCACACTGGACGTGCAGCCATTTTCCAACTCGTGACGATGGCGACACACTTGCATCCTGGCTAGACCAGCCCCGTCATCCAGACAGCCACGAGTAAGCACCCCCACTAGCGTCGACTTGCCGCTCTCAAAGTCTCCGATGACAGACACGCGAAGTCTTTTGGTGGCGTTGTGTTCTAGCACCCTCGTGACCTGGATCCTCACTGCTTTGTGGCTATCACCACGTCCTGTACGGAACGTCGATAATGACATTTCTGCATTAACCACACGGCACATGCTGCGTCCAAAAAGGCAAGTGTTAGAACATGACTACATTAGAACTTCAACCATGTGAACATGAGTACACTCCGTACCGCGCTAATGTCCCCAGGGAGCGCAGCATGACGTCCTCTGTCAGACCCAGCACCTCTCCATTATCCTTCACACCAACCTCGTAGAAGGCGGTGCCTCTGCCTTCGTTAAGGCGCCAGTGCATCTGTGTTGTCAGTTGGCGTAGACGGTCGGGTGACGGCTCCAGGAGCTGCAGCTTATACTCCACGTTGCCCTCCTCCACCTCGTCAGGTAGGCGCTCGGCTGTCTCAACAGGGTCTGAGTAGGCGTATTCGGCGCGTACTTGGCGACGCAAGACCGCCAACCCGACGTCCGCAAGTGTTGCCATGTTGGCAAGTGTGAGCGAGATGCAACTGCCCAAGACAAATCCTGCTGAAATGCAAAGAGTAGTCGGTTTAATAGGCTATAAGATAATATAAGTCCAAAAGGAGCGTTTTTGTGAAAGCAATTGCTAGCCATTTTGAGACGTTATAATATTTAGCAGGATTTGCAGTCTTTTATCGCATGCAGCGACCAACACTCATAAAATGGGTACAAGCTGGAGCTTGAAATGTTCCTATGTCAATTGGAGGCACGGACAGTCACCACAAGAAAGTATCTTTAGCGATATTTTCAGCAGTACAAGTAAACAGACATTTACGCATATATTTACTGTAGCTGCAACGTTGTACTATTCATTTTTTTTCTGCCTTAAGTTAATTACACTCCACGACAAATACATACGGTAATATGTATTTGTCGTGGAGTGTTATTAACTCAAGACCGTGTTCATACCTCAGTATTAACAGGGAATTTGAGGACGCTATTTACTTGTGGGCGGAATTTACCGGACGATTATCCTGTTTTGCCGAATGAGGTTACATTGAGGGGTACGTATAAGGTATTGGAGTGGTTACGTTATAATCGGCAAGCAATCATATCACAGTTGATTTCGAGTTTATTAAGGTATCCCTCGCAACCAAGACAACCAAGACCTCCAGTAAGGTGATGTAGAGCAATGTTAGTGCTGCTATTACCGATGACCAACGCTCTTTAATCTCTTAC